CTAAATGTGCTTATTGTAATGTTTTTTGCTATTAAGTAACATTCAGATGTCCAGATTTACAGTTTGTGGTGATTTAGAATACAATCAGGTAGGCTGGAAGGGACCTCTAGAGTTCTGTAGTCCAACCATGTTCTGGTCAAAGCAGGTTGCTCAGGAACTTGTCAAGTTCTGAATCCTCAAAGGATGGCATCTCTGCAGCCTCCTGGGCAGCCTATTCTAGTGTTTGACCATGATCATTATTTTTAAAATTTATTTTTAAATGCTTTCCTTGTCAAATTCAAATTTTATGTGTTCCAACCTCTGTCCATTGTTTCTCATTGTTCTACTGTGCATTGCTGAGATGAGTCTGTCTCCATCTTCTCTGCACTCACCGTTAGCTAGCTGGAAACAGTAAGAATCAGGTGAGAAGGAAGGGCCTTCTGGAATACTGGGGGGAAAAAAGGAGAAATTAATGAGAACTGCAGATAAGGGGTATGTGTGTGGGGAAAGTAATTTCAAAAGTGACTTTTTGTTTAATGATTAGCTGGACCAGTGAAAAACCAAGGAGTGTTTTTCAGGAAGGTATTTTAATACAACAAGAAGAGAGACAACTGAAAATATGACAACAATCAGTAAAAATAAGGTTCTGAAAAAGTTAATAAACTAGATACAGACATGTGTGGTATTTTTTTGTTGCTGCTGCTGTTCTTCTTCCTGAGCCCCAGTAAGACTTCTGTAATGTAGCCAAGTATCTTTTTTTTTTCTTTTCTAAGGTGAATGCTCAAAGACATATAAATTAAGAATAGTTAGCCATGTGATAACCAATGACTGAAAAAGAGTATCTAATACTCTCTTGTGCAGATCTAGAGAAATAGCAAGTTGCTATTTTATGTTAACCTGAGTATGTAGTATCAATAAGTTAAGAGAAAGTAAACAGCTGGAAGTGAGTGAGCCCTCAGATACAGTGAAAAGTACCCTAACTGCTCTGTCTGGTAGGTATCAGTAGAATAAAATTGCTTGGGTAATTCCTGAATAATAGGAATGCAAAGCAGCAGAGGTCCCTCCCTATGAGTGACATTATCTAAAAAGCATACAGAACTGCCTGCTGTCCTAAAACAGGAATGCTTTTGTCAGTGAGGAAGGGGTTGCTTCAACTCCTGGTGCATAACTGACTCCTTTTTGTACCAGCATCTTTGTCTGGCCTAGGAAAGGGCTGGAAAAAGACTGAGGGAGAAAAAGAGGAGGTTTAATTTAGTTCTTACTAAGGTATTCGTGTAACTTGCCAAAATTGAAGCTGTTGCTTGTGATGTCTCTTTTTCTGACCTTCCTGTGTCACATCCAATACGGATTTTTGTCCCTCTAAAGAACTTTCCCTGGTTCCGAACAACTTGGTTTTATTCCTACATTCTCCCCTATTGAACTCCTTTTTATCTTTGCATGTCTCCACATTAAAAACAAGCTCCATATATTTGTTTTAAGGGTTCTGCCCATCTTGCCATCTATTGTTCATCTGTTACCCATCTGTCAGTCTCTCTTACACAGGGGTTTATGCTGCTAGTTTTTATCATCTACTTACTAAATTTTCAGAAGGATATCTCTATCATATTTTTCCTGGGCCTGAATGAAACCCTCTTGATACACAGAGGTATCTCCTTTGCCTGTTTTGGATCTCTCCTTAGTATTTTTTTTAAACAACTTTATTGTAGAATTGTAGGCTGCTTGTATGTTAAGATCACTGCCTATCATACTAAGCCCATGCTCTTACTGTTCTCTGTAGTCTATACATTCTCATTGTATACTGAAACTTATAATTTCTTAGATTGTAAAGTTTCTAGACAGCATGGTAACATGAGTAATGAAAAGCACCCTATATCTGTGGAGTTTTAGTTATGTTGAATGTTTCATCCAGGAGTTTGAGTAGCTATTCTTGGGTTTAGGGAGCATTTGGTTGATTTGGGGTTTGTGGGGAGTGTTTTTGTTTGGTGGTTGTTTTCCCCCCCCTAGTGATGCAGAGCAGGACAGGAGAACCTAAATAATTTTTTTTGTCCGGTAGCTTAATGTGATCATTGTAGCATTACCTCTTCTGGTTGTGGGGTCTTTTTCTAGGTGAGTATTGTTTTTATTTTGTTTGGGGTTTTGTACCCTTATTTCATGTAATATTGCAAAACAATAAATGGTATTTTTTTCAGTTTCATTACTTTTCCCACAGTTCTGAATAGCAGTAGTAAAAATGATGGAAAGATTAGTCATTGGCTTCATAAGAAAAGTACTAGAAGTACAAATAATGTTTTAATGCACCCATACATGTACTCCCTTCCCCTTCAGAATTTTTTTTTGTTATTCACAGTGGTAATTACCTTCACAACCTAGAGGGTTAGATTAGACTAGAAGTTCAAAATACTGTCTTCTATTTCATCAGCTAGTAAATACTTAACATTTTCCCTTTTTGCCATTTTCATTAAAAGATAATAATTTGGCCTTCTTCCTGATCTTGGCAAAGCTGAAAGGTAGTATAGAACCAAAAGAGCTTGCTGTATTACATAAGCAATCTTCTGAGTGAATTTTCTTATCATCCTTCAAAACTACCTTGTTTTTCAAACTAGTCAAAAAGGGTGGGTTCTGCAAAGCCTTAATTATGACTTGCCCAGTCCCACAAACCTCTGCATAAGGGAACAAAATGTCCTTAAGAGCTTGATAAAGACACTTTATTTTCCCCCTCATACCCCTTTTCCTCTTTGGATTTATGGTCAATCCATGTTTTTCATTATCAGTAGGTAGTGTAAGAAAAAGAGAAAAATGGGTGAAAGTGTTTACATGGCCTTATGAAAATAAAATCTCCATATTTTGCAATGCAGCCAGAGTCAAATACTGAACTAGCTCTGTGAATTGTATAGGTTATTACTGTAGATACTCTGAAAGCCATATTAATTTTTCCAAGATACTCTTTAAAGTTTTTTTCAAACTTAAATCAGCTTTGATTTTCATGTCATCATCAAGGTTTCGATGTCATGTCTTGCAGTGTAAAATGGAAACAGAATAATGCATTTAAAATGGTAAAGTGTGGGTTGTTTTTTCCCTGCCCCCCACCTCAGTCCACTGACTGCAAACTGCAGCTTCATTCTTTTAATAAACTTAATGGTATGTATATTTTCTATTGTTTCGCCCCCTTGTAGAAGATATTCCTAAGTGTTACTGGTAAAAATCTTCCTTATTCTTTATAAATAATTGTTGTCCATACATTCAGCCTTTGTAGACTATCTTCTTTATATCTCTAAATATTGAGAGTCAGCCTCTTGGCTACATCTCCTGAAAGACAAGCACCTTGCCTCTTGCCCAATACAAGTTGAAACTGGTGTTTGAAGGGATCTCATGTCAGACAAAGACACTTGTATTTTGTTGTATGTTCTTGTGTAGTGTTTTAATAAAATACTTATTTTGGATATTTCTTAAAGTTATATCTGTGTAGGTGTGGATCTACTCAAACATGGCATAACTGTTACTGTGTTCTTGTGTGGATGTGTAAAACTGCTCACTAGATGGATTACAGAAAGAGAGTCATCTATGCCTTTCATTTAGGCTTATCTTACGTGATTCTTAAGCATCTTTACTGCATATGTATCAATAAATAGATTTCCTCAAATAGCATTGGGCAGGAAGTATGATGAAGCTTTTAAAGTAATCTTTCCCCTCTGAGAAAGATAATGGGCAAATTACTCTGGTCTTCTACAGCATTACTTTTGGGAACGGTATTGGGAACTGCAGGGTTGAGTTTTGTTGAGAGCTGGCTAAAGAAATGCTTTAGGAGTTCATGGGTTTTTTTATTAGAAGAGGGTAGAGGAGTATTACTTGTTGCATGTTTTTTCAGGCATTTAAATTTGCAGCTGTTTATCAGCAGACTTTCCTTATTTTAAACTGAAGAGCCCTGGGTGACTGGATAAGATTTTGCTATAGAATGTTTTTTCCAGCAGAAGTACAGTAAGTTGTGAAATGTTAACTTTTTGGAAAGTAGACAGAGTTCCCACATCTTTAAGTTTTTCTCCAAAATGTATTTCTTTTACTGGTAGAAGCAGTGTTTCAAAATAGGATTTGTGTATGCCACAGTGTAAAATTACCTTTGTCTTATAAATATGAATGATCAGTGTGTGTATAGTAACAATAGTTTCTGAATTCAGTTAGGTTATTCTAGGCTCTGATAACACAAGTATTTCAAATTGTTTCGGATCATATATAGTTATTAATTCTGCAGCTGTTGTGGTACATAAGTTATATGAGTAAAAATCACTTTTTGCATTGTGACACATAGCTGTAATATAGGAAAAATTATCAGAAAGCCTTTGGCTTAGATGCTGTTCAGAAGTTCTAAAGAAGCAACTGAGAATTACTTGAAGATTCATGATTATTGTCTGGCACTTAATCTTTGTCTACTTCAAAATATGTTACTCTATCAGAGTTTGAAAGGATTTTTCACATAAAAGACAACCTTAAAAGGTACACCTACTAAAATACATATATTGTGTCTCTTTGCCTAAAAGGCCATCGAAGATCACAATTTTTTTGAGTTGCTGAAACCCAGCAGCTCCAATATGAGCACTGGTGTCAGGTATTCTGAAGTACTCATGGAGTCAAATAATATCCTAAGTTTATTCATCTGTGCTCTGACCTGTGATTTTTAGTTAGTGTGAATATTCAGTACTTTGTTTTGTGACAGAACACTTTCAAAATGGCTGAAAGGCTTTAATGCTTTAGTAAATAGTGCTGGGAATGTTTTCACTTCCCTTGCATAAAGCATTTTAAATAAATAAATAAAACATGGGGATTTGGTGTGTCTTTGTTAGCACTATGATTTATTCAGCCTAATTTATTAAAACTTGACTGTTGTTTATTCTCCTTTATTCTCCTTAAATTTTGGAAAGTATGGGTTATTGCAATGTATTTCACATTGTAAATACTCTGTTATGCTTCTAAAAAGATAGGTATATGAGCATACTCATTTAATATTATTCTATTTTTTTCTTTTCCAGTTTCTCAAACAGTTAGGTATACATCCTGACTGGCAATTTGTAGATGTTTATGGTATGGAACCAGAACTGCTTAGCATGGTGCCAAGACCTGTCTGTGCAGTGCTACTTCTCTTTCCAATAACAGAAAAGGTAAATGTTTAATTAATAATCAGCTAATCATTTTGTTGTAAATGAAATGGGAATGAACAGTTTGAATCTTGTACTTTGGTGTAATAATAGAATCAAGATGAGACTGAAACCTTATTCGGGAGACTAATGAATTAAAAACAACAGCATGCTTCCTTCAGAACCTTCTTTTGATAACCTTACATGTATATTTCCAATTTCTTTTCAAGTTGGAGTGGGAAAAGCTAATGCAGAAGCACAGAGAAATACACCTCACATTTTTCCATTACAGACAATTTAAGGCTTTTTTTTTTTAATAGGCACTGTGAAATGGCTCAGTTCTGCTACTCTTAGCAGAAAGCTACGACAGCATAAGCAAAATAAGATGTAGAGTGTAGGACTATATCAAATGCAACTACTTTTTGAGTTTTCATACTGTTGTACTGACCAAACTTCAATCCAGTTTTCAGTTCAGTAATCAGTACCAATATGGCTTTTGCTTCTTGGACATATGGGGCATATTTCTAAGATGAAAGATTTGCCCCCCCCCCTTCTTCCTCTATGTTAGACTTTGAAATACTTGATTTGGTTAAATCCTCAAATCTGCTTATTTTATGTCATTATATGCTTCTACATAGAGAAGACCTCCATCTTGCATATCTCCTGAGAGTGTTACATAGGTTGAAATGTGTGATTCATATTAATCTTTCAATTTATAAAAATCTTGTGTGATTGTGATAAGGTCAACCAAAAAGTTTGAGGTGAATCTGCCCAAACTTCTTCCTTGTATTGTGTCTCATAAAAAGAACACGTGGCTTATAAGGACAAAGCAGTTAGCTATTAAAGCTTAACTTCGGTAACAAAACCTGTTTAAATAGAGAGAAGAGTGACGAGGTCAGTCCTGTAAACCTTTGCATTCTCAGTTTCTCCAAAACAGCTATGCAGGCGGTCCTTTTCAGGCTTGATTTCAGCTACCTTGGTAGTTTTGATTTTTAAGCAAACTCTTAACAGTTTTCACCTGTCTTCAGGCTGTCACCTTTGAGGCATTGTTTTCTGTGTGCTGCGGTTTCTGTCTGGCTGCGTGAGCTATGGGTCTGAGCTCCTTCTGCTACTGTCACTTTTCTTTTGCCTCCCTGTCTGTGCAAACTCCCTTTCTCGGATCATGCTGTGGGAGCATCATCCCATGGGAAAGAATAGCCTTCAACAGAAGAAGGTGTATCCAATTTCATCCTGAAGAAGCATATGACAAACAGAACCAGGGAAACAGCATATGCTCTGTTGCATCGATAAATCAAATTTGATAGCCAGCCAAATATTTGAGATTTTCTCCAGCATGTTAATCCTTCAGAAACATAAGGGACACAAGTGTTTCTATCAACTGTTTAGCCTGAGTGTGGGAAGGCTGAATCTTTCATGTGAAGTCCCAATGTTCTGAAGCTTTTGTTGTTTAGTGTGAACTCCGCAAGACTCTTGGGTGTTGTTTCATATTTCTGGAGTACTTTTCCCCTCCTCAGTCTCCCTTTCAATATGGCCTGTTATAGTCTGCTTTTATTTAATTTATTATTTATTTATGAAAGTGTGCCTCTTAATTTTGCTGCCTTTGTAAACACTGTTCTATCATATCTTTGTTCTTCTGTCTAGAAGTTCCTTTCTTTCATGTTTGCTATATATTAATTTGCTTGAAGTTGCTTTTATGGCAAGATACTCCTGTTAGCATACAGATAATCTTAGGGTTATTGTCTAGTTTAAAGGTCAATGATTTTATTAGTCTGCATTGTAGGTTCTAAACAGAGTGAATACTGTGGGCGTTGGGCATTTTGGACATGGTCCAATGAATACATATCATGGGATAGCTTGGGTTAGGAGGGACCTCTTGAGGTGATCTGGTCTAACCCTTGGTCAAAACTGTATTTTCAGTATTCTCAACACTTATATATTTATTTTTGCCATGGACTTTATTTTGGTTAGCAGGGAGTGAATGACAGCTATATTGTTTACCTTCTCTGATCTGAACTTTTGTCTGATTATGCTCTATGGATTTTTTTCTCAATTAAGGATATTTTTGTTAACTTGTAGATAAGTGGTGTCAAGTTAAAATGCTTTGTAAATGCTCTTGTTACTACTTAGAACATTCAGACAAGCAACAAGCATGGAATCATGATGCAGGAAAAATTTCTTGTTTCCGATTGCCACGGACAGTACATAGTCTGGGAGAAATTTCTCATGGGTTTTCAGGAAGAGTTCCTTGATAACATTCTGTATTCGAACTACTTTTGCCATGCTTGTATAAAAAGCCTGTCTACTTCAATATTTCTTTTTTTGTCTGCAAAAGTATGTAGTAAAAGAGACAAAGGAGGAAGAAAGAACATTTGCTGTTTTCTTTCATTGTCTTTCTGTTTGAGATGAAAATCTTAAAATAAAAAAAGAACCAAAAAAACTCAACCAAACAAAAAACACCCCCCCAAAAGAACCAACAAACCACAACCAACAAAAAACTCCCACGAAACCAACACGCTGTTGCATAATATAACAGATTTTAGTGAATTATGATCTTTACAAAACAAGTACTTTAGATTGTTCAAACTAAATTATTTTACTACAGAAAACAAACATTCACTTTATGAATATAGCTTTTGAAGGGCCTGTTTTGAGACTGTGAGCATTATATAAATCTTATTTTATATTCCTGGAAAAAATGAAATGTAAATATGGAGCTTGTAAGAACGCTTCATGCTGATTAAATGCTTGGCTTGCCTAATAGCACTTTGAGACCTCTGTCCTTAAAAGCTTTTTGCTGGATTGAAGAGAGACAGTGTCAGGTGCTCAGATCAAAGAACTATTTTGAACATTTTTAAATTTATGTTAGGTAACGTATATTTCAAAATGATGTTTCAGGTGTGATTGGTTTTTGGCTAGTGACAAGGCATTGGTTTAAGAAACAACATAGAGCTGTTCAGTCGAGTAAGTTTACATATACTTGTCGAACCACATATGTTAGGCATTTCAAATTACAAGTTGAGTTTTGGTTTTATTTAGTTAGCTATTAGTTTTTAAAAATTATTTTTGCTTGAATAATGTAGCCAGTATCTATTTGTACTATTTGCGAAATGTCTATAACTTTCTTTCTAGTATGAAACCTTCAGAACAGAAGAAGAAGAGAGAATAAAAGCTAAGGGGCAAGATGTCAAATCATCAGTGTATTTCATGAAGCAGACCATTAACAATGCTTGTGGAACAATTGGGCTAATTCATGCTATTGCAAACAACAGAGATAAAATGAACTTTGGTAAGTTTTGTGGGCTGGTTGGGATTTTTTTGTTGACTTTTCCCTTTTTTTTTTTTTTTTACTTAACTGTGAGGAGGCATGGAGGGAAGGATACTTTTTGTACTATTTTCTCTGAACATAACCATTCATAAAGGACGATCTCTATTCAAAGAGTGTTTCTATCTATAATTATAAAAGCAGTGTTTCATACTAATTCATGAACTAAAGCACTTGAAATGTTGCAAACTGCAGCAGGTAGCAATTCCTCTTGAAGTCAGCCTTCAGTGTCTTAAAGATACAATGTAGTTATATCTTTAAATCTTTCATTGGATATAAGCATTCTTTAAGCTTTGAATGAAGTTGGAGTTAAAGCATGACTCTAATTATGTCTCTTTTATTTTTTTAAGAAACTAATTCTTCACTGAAAAAGTTCCTAGAAGATTCACTATCTATGACTCCTGAAGAGAGGGCCAAATACCTAGAAACTTATGAAGTTAGTATCATGCATTTTTACTTTTATTTAAAATGATACAAGAATTAGTTGCATGAGCAGGGACTGTCTTTAGGTCTTGATCCAGTGAAGCACTTAAACGATTCAGTTTTATATGTGAGCTTCTGATCAGACGGTTGCTGCAAAGAAAACCCTCCTTCCGTAGTTTAAAGTATTCCTGCCTGCCCAGAGCTCAGTCAGCAGAATGGATTTTGTCGATGTTCCTCACCCATATTAATTCCCTGGGTTAGTTTAAAATGACTTTGAAATAGATGAGAAATGTGTGCATAATCTTTTTGGTGGGTTCAGGATGCAGTTTAATGGTCAATTTAAGCTGATCTGGGGCTATTGCTGAAAGGATGGTCCTGCTGCTGCCTCCTTTCATTTGAGCCTTCTAGTCATCTCTCTTTGGCTGTAGCAGTTTAGGGCACACAAAGAGCTGATTTGGCTGAAATATAATCTTCTTCCACCACCACCCCAAACAATTAGATGAGCTAGCTGATATTGTGGTTAGCCAGATCGTTAGTGCTATTTGAAAGGATGTGGCAGAAACATCTGGCTTATGGTGGAAGAGGAGAATGGTGGTGTTGCTCTTGATGGTAATGATGATCCTCTCTCAAAATGAAAAACTTCATGATTTGCAAGTCTGTTCATTTTAAGCTTATTGTGAAGCCCTCAGGAATAAGGGTGTTAACATGTGGCTGAGGGAAGTAGTAACAAACAGAAACAGTAGAGGTTTGATGACATTTTCTGTAGAAATGTTGGACACAAGATGTCTGATCAGAGCTTCTATCTAAAGAATTTTGTCTGCCTAGGAAGTGATATGTAACAAAAACATTTGCCCATAGTGTCTTCTCTGTGTAAAAGTGCCCTTACAAACTGTTAGGTATTTGATTTGAATTGACTGTGATGAAACTGAAGTATTGGTCTTCTGCAATCCTCAGAAGTGGAGATTCTTTCTTTATTTTTTTTTTTGTTTATTTATTACAAACACTGAACAAAAATAGTTACATCTATGGCATTTGATAAAATGAAGAGCTTACAGACAGTGATTCTCAAAACACTAAAAATCTCTCATTTAAAGTCTGATTGAAATATGTTTTAATTTTAGGCTATTCGAGTCACTCATGAATCCAGTGCCCATGAAGGTCAGACTGAGGTATTCGTTTTTTAAAAAAAAATCTTTGTTAATAACTACTTTGAGTTGAATATAATTGAAATAAAAACAGTCATATGTTAAAGGTTTACAGTGAAATGGAGATTATTGCTTTGTTTGCAGTATTGTGTCATTAGTCACAAAATTAAGCGGCATTGTTGGGGGAAGTCCAACTTGAAGCTTGTTTGAGTTTTGGGGGTTTTGTTTTTAAGCATTTATGTAACATGGATGATCTTTTCAAGCTTCATTTCGGGGTAAAACAGCCAGTAATAGTATTTTCAATGAAAGTTGAGGTTTTGATGTTGCAAATTTGCAGGTAAGACTGTAAGATCCATAGTAATCATACAAGTGGAACAAACACTTTATGAGAGTCTGAAAAGTTTTACTTCAGGAAAACAAATAGTACAATACTTGCTTTACTATTGTGTATGTGCTGTTTGTATACAAATACTAATTCAGATAAATTCTTGCTAATACATGTATTTATAAGCTTTTATCCCCCAACAGATTGGGTGATAGGAAAAAAACCCAACGAAAACCTGAACCCAAACCCAACAAAAAACCTTAAAATAAGCATTCAACATTTTTCTTCTTCAGTCATACTAAGGCAGTTTGCCATCTTTCTGGTTCAGTTTTCAGTATCTGTTCCACAAAAAGAAAATGGATTAGATTGTTGCTAGCACTGCTTTGTTTGACAAAGAGAGGAACCCTCCTTTGTTTGGCTGTGACTCCAGTGGCTCATCTGCTTTCTTTTTTTTTGAAGTACAGTAGGTGAGGTTTTCTTTCTTCTTATGGCTTGTGCAGTGTCTTCTAAACAATGCAAGAGAAAGCAAAGCAGTCCTTTCTTCTCCCCTGTGCCCCACTATCTGGAAACGAAAATTAAGAGAATTGTTTTAACCATTTCTATTATAGATACTCAACAACTTCCTTTGTGATATTTTCTTTAAAAAAACCCCACCACTCTTCATATCTCTTTTTCTAAATTAATCAAGGTTCTTTATTTCAAGAAGAAACAGCAGAACAAATTCATATTTCTTTTCCTTTTTTAAAGTGAGAGACTCCAAAAAATCTGGTCTTTTTTTTTACACAAGTCCTTTTTGAGATATTCTTGGCAAGCTCAGTAAGAGAGAGGCTATGGAGATTATTCCCACAAGTTGCTGAAGACTGAATCTTTTCCTAAGATCCTTGTGAAAGAGAAAAACTACTTTAGTTGTTTTGATATACTGTGACATTCATCCAGGGAATGGTTTGTCTATGCATTTTTCTGACAGATATTATAGAATGACTGGGAAAGAAAATGCAAGGGCTGTGTAGTTCTGAGGGTCTTTGTAAAGATTCAGGAAGCATCTAAGTGATGATGGAATCTCCTAATAAGGGATAGTTAACTTCTTCCACAAATTAATTTGTTTCCTGATCAAGATAACCACAATACAAAAGATTAATAATTGTGTGGAAAGGTGAAGGCTTTTTTCATAATAAAAATTTATGTGTTAGCAACTATGTCTAAACACGAATATTGAATAGGTAGCTTCCTTGCCAAATATTTATTATTCCATTTTGCATAACTGAATCTGAAAGTAATTCAATATGATATTCCTTAGACTGGTAAAATAACTTCTTCCTGTCTTTCTGTTTCCAAGTTGAGATAGGACATGTATTCAGCCATTGTACTAGGACCATTTTTCAGAACAGTTCTGATCCATCAACCAAGGACGGAAGAAATAAACAAGGTGTCTTACTGGAACATCTAATTGCTTGAAGATCCTGTCCTACTGTAGTGTAGTTAAATTGGCAGCAAGGCCTCCCCTTTCATCTGTACAGGAGGAATTGTTTTACTTTAAAGTACAATTATTTTTAAGCAAAACAAAATCTGAAACGTGAATATGCTGAGAAGTGTAATTGAGAGCTGGAGTGAGTGAATCTCCTAGACTTCTTCCTTCCAATGGTACATTTTAAATGTTGCTATATACCTCTTCATGTTGTGGTGAAGGGACTGATGAACAGCATGCCCTTGAAGATGCTGAAGTTAACATATGCAGGTCATACAAGGATGTTGACTTGTCCTGCAGGGTAAGTTGATAATTTTTAGCACCTTTGGAGCAAGAGAGAAGAGAATCCCATTCCTCCTGCGTATCCATTATTGTTACAAATACCTCCCTGAGAATTAAAACTTCCTTTCAGAGCACTGCAAAAGAACACGTTTGCCTTCCTATGACTCTGTTGTGTTCCCCCCCGATTAGCCAGGGCATTTTGCATAGAAACCTTTCCTTTGAATTAAGTGGCTTATGCAGTTGCTTAATGATAGTAAGTGCTGTAGCTTTGTGAGCAAAAAGTCCTTTCCAGGTCTCCTGCAGAATTAAAGATTAAGAAAAAGTGCAGGCCTGCTCTTTTAGGATGATTAACTTGGCTTGTGTGCTTTCTAAGAATAGCCTGCACTGTGGGTAGTTCTATCCCTTAGATAGGTATTGCATACTACTGTCCACTCAAATTCTTCTGAAAATGTTGCTTAAGCTCAACTGTGCTAGACAGAATAACTTCCAAAAGTGGGATGTATGGCAGTCAGCTTTGCTGGTTTTAAGAAGCTTTGTAACTGCTCTCAAGATTCTATTCTTTCCTTCCACCGTGCAAGACGCAGTCACACGATTGAGATAAAAAGTAAAATTTTCTGGAATCTTGAGATGTGGAAGGTTTAAAAATAGCAAAGAATACAGACTGGTTCTCTTCTGATAATACTTGGGGTTTTTTTCTGGGCTCTGATTTCTCAGATATTTGAGGATTCAGCCTTTAATGCTTTGAAGTAAAGCCTTTATTTGTTGATTGCTCCTGACAGCCTTGCTAAGTCTTCACAAGTTTTTTTTATCGTCTCAGTGGCTACTTGATTTTTACAATATGCTAGTGGATTTTCTGCTTTTGTTTCTGTTCCATGTATGGATTTCAAACCTTGAAATAAAGCAAATCTATCTAGAAATAAAAGGTTAGAAGTAATAGAGCAAAGCAATGCTGTCTTTCTAGTATCATGTATTCCATCGGTTTGTCTTGTCTGGTGGGTAGAATTTGTTTCTGTCTTACGATAATCTGTAATCAGATTTTTTTTATTTTTTTTAATTTCTTATGTTTTGAAGAAGAGTTCTATTTGGGAACAAAAAAGTATCTGACAAGATATTACTTGTATAACTTTATTATTAGTGTACTGCTAACATTCCAGTTAGTGATTGCTGGAAGAGAAGAGTAACAGTGATCAGTTTGCTTCTGAGATTTACCGTTACTGTGTGATCTATTTAGAGGAAACATTAAGATGAATTGCTAAGCAAATGGATTGAAGCTGAGAGCTATAGAGTGTTCTGCCTTGTTGGGTACTTTAACAGACTTCCTAAGTTTGATAGCTGTGATTTGATTTGCCTAGTTGGGGGTGGGGGGGAAAGCTGTGTTCCTAGACACTACATATGAAATGTCATATTGCATTTAAAACTTTTACAGGCCATCTATAGACTGGATTAGAACTGAGTATTTTGGGGAGGTTTTTTATATTAAAATATATGAGGTTTTTAATGAAGTTTACTGGGGGTTTTTTGTTGGTTTTTTTATTTATTTTTATTGAACGACTTAAATATTTTCTTAAAAATAGAGAAGTCTTTTTTCTTCTTTCAAAGAGATTAAATTTTAGGAACAGTTAAGCAGTTTTCATTTTGCTAATTCATTTCAGGTTTGCAAGTTAAAAGGATTGTAAATCCTTCAGGCCAGATTTTGGACCAGGCTTGATTCAAGTTCTGTGTTAAGACTCCTGGATTCTGTGGCTCCATGGTTCACTTTTTTGCTACAGTAAAGCAAATAAATAGATAAAGAAATTCTATGGGTACTTCTATGTGTAAAAAGTGTAGGTCTGTTTAAAATTACTTTAGGAACAAGCAATAAAATCTGGGGATAATTCCACAGGACTGTTTAAAATTAGTTTAGTAGCAAGCAGTAAGATCCAGGAACAATTCCACAGGAGGGACATAGTGTTGGTTTCAGGGGTGGTTTGGTTCTGATTCCATGTTCCAGTACCATAATGAGGGCAATTAATTTAAGACTCTTGTAACAGTCTTTCTGTTAAACTTTATGCTGCTGAAGCTTACACTTTCTCAAGTGACAGGTATTTCATATCCAAAGCTGCCAAAAAAAGGACCTAAGTCTTTACTATAAAGCTTCATGGATCCGGCTCCCTCTCCTTTCTATGTGGTAGCTCCTGAAAGGCAGCTATTGCTGAGACTAGAATAGTTGTCAGCTGCTCAAGATCCTCTTTATTCTTACTTGACTTTTCTGCTGAGCATATACTTCTGTTCACAATATCTAGGATGTCTGAAGATGCGGGAAATATAACCTGTTTCTTTGCAGAACTGCATGCACTTTTAAGCTGATCCTTGTATTGTTACTTCGTACTGAGCAGTGTTTGAGGTTTTTCAGTTTGTTTTGCATTTGTGGTTTTTTTTTCTTTTTGTTCTTACTGTGACTTTTTCAGCAGTTCGTGAACTGCTGAAACCCTGTAGTACCACACATCTTAACATTTCTGATACCCTCTTGTAAAAAAGAAACCAAAACCAAACACACACAGCCCACCCCCTGCAAAACCATAACCCTTCAAAAATATTAAAAAGACAATACAGTTTGTGAATGCTAGAGCATCCGCATTAGCTGTCTAGTCTACAGTTATCATTAATGAAGAAGTTATGGCAAAATCCGAGGGAGGAAAAGTAGCAATTAATAGCAATAATCAGGGTTAGGCTCATATGTAACTTTTTTGGTATTACTATCTTGGGTTGCTTTCTTTCAAAACAATCATAGTAACTGTTTCCAAGTAACAAATCAGAAAATCTGAAGGGAGAGTTTTTTGAAATCCGGAAAACATGTCATTACATGAGAGACTTCCAGGTCTAGAGTCTTTTGCAGAGCAAATAGCCCTTTTGAATTTGGGGTTGAGGAAGAAACTTATTTTGTATCCTACCTACTCATTTTCATTAATAATA